CCAACAGAGAAATTTTTCGATGGGTAAAGGGTAGAGACAAGGTTATAGTATGTCCCCTCTTCTGTTTGATATAGTTGGAGAACATCTTAATTTAATGCTGATTAAAGCTGCTGATCTAGGACTCTTTGAAGGATTTGTTATTGGTAAGCCTGATAATCCTTTCCAGCTGACACATTTACAGATTGCAGATTATCTTATCTTATTCTGCCGAGATTCTCTACTCACATTCTAAATATCAAGAGAGTGTTGAGAATTTTCAGTCTAATGACAGAGCTTCATCTGAATCTTTCGAAGGGTAATTTATAATGCGTTAATTTTTTTTATAGAATTTGGAGGTCTCATTAAAAACTCCCTTCATATTCTTCCACATACTTAGAAGTATGTTGAAGAACATTGGAAGGGAGAAAAGAGTACCTCATATTTTATTAAATAGAATACCAAGTACATGAGTCACCAAACCCACATACGGGAATAAACACCAATACAAACCATATCACCTAGAAATCTTACATCGTCAAACAAAAAGCCCCTAAAACAATAACCCCATTTGTAGAATACACTTCAAGATGTAAGATAACCCCATTTGCATGGCGTTAATATTGAAGATGGCATCTTAAACGATTGGGCAACTGAGGTTGGCTGTGTAGTGGGATATTTTCATACGATGTTGCTTGGTTTACCTTTAGGTGCAAAGAAAAAATCAGAGGTTCTTTGGGATCCGATCATCCAGAAGTTTAACAAGAAATTAGTTGGTTGGAAAGCCTCTTCATTTTCAATGGCAGGAAGATTGGTGTTGTTGAAGTCGGTGTTGTCCTCATTGCCGGTTTTTTTTCCTTTTTATTTTCAAAATTCCGTTCAAGGTAAATCAGAAGTTGAACTCTTTGAGGGCTAAATTTCTTTGGGGGGAAAGACCAACAAAGAAACGTATTCATTGGGTGAATTGGAAAGTGGTGTGTCAACTCTATGAAGAGGGTGGATAGGGAGTCTTGGATTTGAATTCTGTTAATCGAGTGTTGCTTGGTAAATGGGTGTGGAAATTTGCAAATGAAAGACACTCAATGGAAAAAGATGCTTTGCAGCAAACATAATGTTAGTAATTTGTCTCAAAGGAAAGCTTCTCTCTAACCTAGGTGTTTTCAATTTTCAAATTTCAAATTACTTATTTCCACGAGCCTCAGCATCTCTCCTCCGATATCCACCAGTCGTCCGCAGTTGTCGTCTGCCACCGCCGTCAGCCGTCCTTTTCCACACTTTGACCTTCGTTTTGACGCAGTTTTTTACTGGGTAATTCGCCGGCTCAAGGTGTTTCCTTTTCTGGGCTTGTTTTTCTGAGTAAGACTTTTATTTGACGCTGATCTATAAGCCGCTCACAGCCGTTTTCGCCTCCATCCGTTGCACGTACGCTGGACATCGCATCTCCACTGTATTCAGAGCCTTTTTGCGATCATAACCCATTTACTTAGTGTCGAGATTAGTTGCATCTCTCCATTATATTGCACTGAGCAGTTTCGACAAGATCAGGCGCTCGCTACTCTTTAATTTCTGCATGACTCTTTTGGTGGATTTCTTTCGTCACTGCTGTTGAAGCTTTGAGCTCTTGTTCTGGAACTTTATTTCTAGGGGTGATACGTAAACTCAGTATACTTCTTCTAGCAGGATGTATTAAAAGACAAAAGCTCCTGCTTCTCTCTTGTTTATAGATCTTATCTGGGTTTTTCATATCAACAGTCTTCATCACATGCCGGGTGCTGGAGTCCTCCCTTCTCTCTAGCAGAGTCCTTCGGTCCAAGTTCCTCCACCCTCTGCAGCAGCGCATTCTCTGCCATCTCACCCTTCTCATCATGATGAGGTTCGCACTATTTTCATTATGGGTCTGCCTGAAGATATCAAAGAGAGAGCTACAGAATTTTCTGAGATGGCTTTCGGGTTTTAAAGATTCGCATTCTGAGATGTGTCTTCCAAAGGCTTCGCTCTCTTCTCAACTGTAAATTTTGCAGTCGCTGCTAAGGATGTCCTTCAGAAAATGGTTTTTGACGCTAAGTTGAGGTCCCTTTTGCACATTGAGATGGCAAGGAAGAATCTTGCTGTTAAAAGAGTAGTTACAAATTCTGTTGCATTTGACAAGGATGGAGGTTTTCTTGTTCCTCTAATTCTGCCATTGCCAATTCCAGCTTTTGTAGCATCTCCTAGTGTTCAGGTTCCTGTTAAAGCGGTGAGTTGTGATGGTAAATCTGCTGTTAATGGTGTACAAGAAGGATCTAGGGAGTCGATCACAAAGGGCGGATACTTGATGCTTTTTTTCCTAATAAAAGGAATTTAAAAGGAGATCATTTTGGTTTTATTCGCTTCGCATCATTAGAAGAAGCAAGGAGAACGATCTCAAAAATGAATGGATCTCGTATCGACGGTAGCAAAATTTGTGTTTCTTTCGCTAAATTCAAACATCGAAATTCCTATTGAATAAGTCTTCGACAAATGTTCTTCAAAAGTCCGGGATGGAAGATTATTCGAGAAAGAATCATTATAAAGTTGAAGGTGTTATAGATGAAGAAAAACCTCAGGTGTTGAGCAATTGTCTAGTGCGGTGGCGTAAGGATTTTGTCAAAATTGGTCATCTCGCTAGACAAATGCAAGCGAAGGGCCTCATTGGCTTCACCTAAATGAGAGCAGCTAGAAATGCGATTTTAATGATTTTCGAAGATAATGCTTCATTGAGAAGTGTGAAAAACGACAAATCAAAGATTCTCATAGAGTGGTTCTCCATAGTCGAAGTTTGGTTAGAGAGTTTGGTAATGGAGTGTCGTCGAGTATGGTTAGTTTGCGATGGTGTTCCTTTTCATGCATGAACTTGGGATACTTTCAAGAACATTACAGATAAGTGGGGTCTTTTACTAGCTATCGACAAAAGTTGTCAATCTCCATCTTTTGATCGGACAAAAATTCAAGTCCTCACAAAGGCTAATGCGAAAATTGACGCGATGGCTGAATTGAAGGTTGGTGACAACTTCTTCAAGGTCATGGTGCATGAGATATAGCCTTCATTCAAACCAAATTCTTGGGCTCCTGAAAAAGACGAGTCTCTTTAGATTTTGTCTCTTCATTCGTGGTTTTGTTTTAGTCTATATGGCGTTGTTTTAGTCCTATTGCTGGTGGTGTAATTAGAAGTATGGTGATTTGATCGTGGCTTTGGATGAGGTTATTTGAGGTTTAGGTGTTTGTTGTAATGGGGTATATCACCATGAGAGGATATTTCGTGGTGTCTTTTGTATCGGGTATTATTATTAATAAATTATGAGGTGCTTTTTTCTTCCTTCCAATGTTTGTTAACATACTTTTAGTATGGGAACGAATATGAAGAGAGTTTTTAATGAGACCTCTAACTTCTATAAAAAAAATGACGAGATCAGAAAGTGTTTGAGGTCACATTCGAAGATCCAAGTGGGGAATGGTAAGTCGATATCCTTCTGGAATTATGTTTGGGTTAATGTTTCAACCTTAAAAAACCAATTCCCCAGGATTTTTGCTTTATCTAATAATAAATGGGGTAAAGTGGTTGATTTTGGTTGCTTTGAAAATAATGGATGGGTTTGGATCATTCAGTCGAGAAGGAATTTATGCGATTGGGAATTAGATCAGTGGGTTGCTTTAATGTCTTTGCTCGATAACATAATTTTGTCCGATTCAGTGGATAACTTTCTTTCATGGTCGTGGAAGGGTGATGGTTTGTTCTCGGCTAAGTTCTGCATGCTGACTTTATCTTGTAAATCTGGAGGTACTTTCAATTGGAACAAGTGGGTGTGGTCAGGTTTGGCTCCTCCCAGAGTCGAAACCTTTCTTTGACAGATATCCCACCAAAACCTGGCAGTTAGAGTAGAGTTGCAGAAAAGGGGGGTTCCCTTGGAGGATGTTCTTTGTCCATAATGTCATAAGCATGAAGAAACCATCCAGCACCTATTCATTTCTTGCTCTGTTGCACGGGAGTTGTGGAATAAATTTATAAGGTTATGGGACATCTTGGTCTGATTTAAGGGCTTATTCTTCAATTTAGAGGTTTATACCGGGAGTTGTTTTGTGGTCAATATGGAAGGCTAGGAATTCGGTGGTGTTTGATAATTGGAAACTCGACAATTCTTCTCTCTTCTTTATTTCTAAATTTAGGATGGCTAAATGGTTTCTAGCTAAGTTCCAGTGTTGATTTACTATTTGGGGACCTCTCTATTGTAGACAGACTTCTTACTCATATCTTTAAGAGAAAGAAGATCCAGTGTTGGCTTTCTCCTCCAGCTATGTTTTTAAAATTTAATGTGAATGGGGCGGTAAGAAATGATGGGCTGCTGGATGGAATTGGAGGAATTTTGAAAGATTCTAATAGCTATACTTTAGCCACTTTCTCCAATGATGTTGGTCCATGTCCTCCTCCTTTATCTGAGTTTAAAGCAATTAAAAAATGAATTGATTTTTTTCTTTCATCTTCTTGGGCATTGAAGGGAAGACTGATCATAGAGAGTGACTGCAAGTCTGCAATTGACTGGATTTTGTTGCCATTTTCTACTTCTTTTTTCAGTTCTTTGGTTGGGGAAATTGGGTCCTTAGTTTCTACTAAGGAGATTATAATTAGACTGATTCCTAGGAGCTGTAATTGGGAGGAAGATAAATTAGCTAAGGAGGGAATTGGCTGAATGTTTTTGGGTTTTTTTAGATGTACTAATTGGGTTTTGTTGTTTATGGTTGTTTAAAGTGTAATGGTGTAGTCTTATGTAATTATTGACTTATGAATAAAATGAGGTACTATTTTACTCCTTCCGCTAGTTGCCTCTATTCAAGAGCCAACTAAGAGGGAGGTTTTTAATGAGGCATCCTACTTCTATAAAAAAAATCCATTAGAGAGTATTATCCGACAAGGGCAATGTTAACAGTGATTATAACGCCATGGTACAAGCATAAACATCATACTTTAAAAGCAGTTCTTTCATCTTACAAAGAAAAGGTTAGGAACTCACAAAAACAGTTAAATCAGCAGTGTTTTCCTTTGATTTGTCCGAATTATGACCATCCTGAAAAAAATATATCACTCAGCTTTCAAATTACATATCATTAGTCGATCAAATCCTCAACTACCTAGAAACTTTACTCCTCTAACGAACTTTACACAAACAATCAAGTTTTTACGAAATTGGGCGGAAACAGCATAAGAACTATGAAAAATCTCAGAAAGAACAAGCAATTGCATGCCATTAATTAAGGTTTCAGTCTAAAAGTACATTAAGACTAATAACAAAGCCCATATATTAAGCGAGAGCATTTCAAGCACAAACAATTTTAATCCCAAAAACCAAATATATAATAATTTATAATTTAAATATTAATATTATGATTTAATAAATTATATATATAATTTAAATTAATTTAAGAATAAATTAATAAATCGAAGTTTGAAAACCATTCGATAGGGGAAACAAATCAAAATGCTATAAGCAATATACGGAAAATGCTTTATAAAAAAAATTAAATAATATTAGAATTGTCTAAATTAATTTAATTTAAGAATATATTAATATAATTTTATAGAATATGATTGGAAATGTCAGCTTCAAAATATGTGATTTTGTTGATTTATAGCCTATTTGAAAAGCAAAAAAATTAGTGCTTTCTTTTTAGTGGAAGTAACATTTTACCTGGCTTGTGCATGCAACAAAATTGCCACTTAGATTCAATGGAGTTATCTGCAGCTCCAATTCAATGTGTGATGCAGTAGCAAGAGTAGACTCATTGGACTGGTTAGAGTTGTTAGTTGTGTGATTCCTAAATGTTTAATCTGGTACAACCAGCTTGCATGCTTTCATAGGCACACACCTGTACAAGAAAAGATAGATGAAATATGTGGAAAGACATGCATTTCTAACCTCATAGTCTTTCTATGTTTTCTCTAAATATTACACATATCAAGGATCATGATAGGATAGAAACAAAGCATCTCGTTTTTCATTTCTTTTGCCTAATATATAGAAACAAAAGCATATTCATTTCATATATGCAGAATAAAAAAATACATAAAAGGATAGAAACAAAAATCGGTACTTAATGATCTAGCCCTTTGTATTACCATCCAAACTTTCCTTCCAAGAATGGTAATCCGGCATGGAATAAAACGGTATCTCTTCCTTCGTATTGTTGACCAGGTGAGAAGCCTGTGCGAAAAAAAAATAACATAAATAACAAGAAAGCTTGCTGCAAAATATTGAACATGTAAATATTAGCCAATAATACCTTCACAATAGGAGTTATAAACTTGCTCATGAATGATTTTACTTTCAACAGTGATAGTCAAAAGGAGTGAATAAAATTGATCACCAAACCCTTGATATAATTTAAATTAGTATATTCTTAAAATATTTTATAGTTTATAGTTTAAATATTATTATAATATTTATAAATTATATAAATAATTTAATTTAAGAATAAATTAATAAAATTATACCTTGTACAGGTTTGTGTCATATGCTAGTTCTAGCTTTAGCTGGATAGACAACTATTTCTCATTGTGAAGTGGTGATTCTAGTCCTTTCTCTACCTTAACCATTGCTAGAGTGTGCTCGCCAGTCTCCTCACCTTTGGATTTCTGCATTAAATCTTCAATGTCAGTCTCCTCAAGAAATAAACCCAACGATACAGAAAATGAGAATAAATTAATTTAATTTAAGAATAAATTATATAATAATATTTTAAATAATATTAGAATAATTTAATTTAAGAATATATTAATATAATTTAAATTAATATATTCTTATGATATTTTATAATTTATAATTTAATTATTATTATATTGATAAATTATATAAAAAAATTAATTTAATTTAAGAATAAATTAAATTAAATTAATTTATGATATTTTAATTTAATTTAAATAAATAATATCAAAGTAAATGTCGAGGAATTTCCTAATGTGAACGAAAAAGAAAAAAGCACAAGGACAATAGATTGTGACACTTACATTTTCTTCAACTATGAGAGATGAGCAACAGAGAACCAATTTGTCGAGCGATTCACAAATATTCATGTTCTTCTGCATACTAACTTCTTCGCTTGTAGGATATTCCTTGTTGTGAACTGTCAAATGACTACAAATGAAGCAAGAACTTAATGAAATTTCCATGAGAGTGAAAAGGTGAAGTTTGTAAATAAGCTAGAATAAACTGGATGAAACTTCAGCACACCCTCTTAAAACACTTGTTTTTCTACTTCCTTGAGATTCTGACTTTTCATTAGGCAGGACGCAACATTACAAAGTTAACAAGGTACGTAGTCTTTAACTTCCCAAAAAAATCATATGAAGTCCAGAAAACAGCCCTATTGTAATCCAAAATAAATATACACTCGTTAACAAGGAACGTAGTCTTTAACTTCCTAAAAAAATCATATGAAGTTCAAAAAACTGTCCAATCTGTGTATCACTTACAGTATATGCCACCGGTATTGTGAGACTAATTTTGCAAGGGGAACATGGAAACTCTTAAGACAACTCTTTTCGAAACAGCCCAACGTTGCACCTTTGAGTTCACAACAGGAGCAATTTATTTTTCACAACAGGAGCACCTTATCATTTTCAAAATAAACATTAGGAGCCCTAAAAAAAATAACATTATTATATATTAAAATTATGAAAACTGTATTGAAAGAGCATATTAGGTTATGAACACTTTTACCTTAGAGCCACCATTGTAATCTTGAGGAACAAGTCTGCCTTCATAGTAATTAACCATCTCTCCTGTAGCCTGCAATTTTGTTTAGCAAATAAACTTCATCAATTTGATTGAAAAGATGGGCAGTTTTAGTCGTATCATAGACTTGACAGGAAATACTGAACCTCAATCTTCTATTGAAAGACAAAAAACATTGTGTTTTATTTGTAACGTTCTCACATTTACACAAGGTCGCTTCATTTGCTAAAGGCAACATCTTTACTGTTGAACCATGACCATCTGAAATTCCAACAGCGAGACTCCCATTAACCTTTTCATTTAGTCTTTCTAAAGACATTACTATTTCCTTGCTGCTGTTGATCTTCAGCCAACCCACTTTTTGCGTCACCGCTAAAAGAAACTTTCATCTTTTTCTTACAACTTGAGGTTTTTTCACTTTTCAAACTTGTAGTCAACTTTACTTCCCAAGCACGTTTAATTGATCCTTTTCTAACCCTTTTGGCACCAATTTCATGAGCTAAGGGAGTGGAGTGGGAAATGAGGGCTTCTGTTGAATCGTATTTTCATTTGTCGAACTTCATCAGATAAAAATACCTATTACTGCCAGTGCAAAGATAGATAAAAGAGCTTATTAACTATTAGCATCATATCAAAAGACAAATAATGAAGACTTAATTATATAACTCAAACTTGCCACTTGGGATTACTAAAGCATACGAAATGGTCTTTTCAAGCTTTCAGCAGTTATTTTTCTTCCATTATTTGTTACAAGGCATTTTTCAGTGTTTAAACCGTCTGGTAGCTTTGCTTCCTCAAATTTCCCACAAAATCATAAAGCCATCTCTAAATATTACAAGAGTTCTATAGTGAATTGAGCAACACATGAGAGCATATTCGCTGCTGAAATAACACATTAAAGTGTGAATAAAAGGTAAAGAAATGAAGTATAGAAACACAAGTGTTCTTAGAGATCAGAAAACCTCACTACAAGAGTCAAGGGACTTTGAAAAACGGAATCTCCCCGGAACTTAAATTCTAAACGAAAACTAACATAATGAGAAAGTAAGAGTACCTTTTACTTTCAGCTGTTGGCTGAGGAAGTATGGACATAACAGCCCTATCAGCTAAAACTTTAGTTGGACATCCTAAACAAGATGGTTAATCAAGTTTGATATATCAGTAATGTAAGACATGGTACCACAAAGTAAACTTCAAGAATTCTCAGAATGGCGGCAACAGAAATAGCACATGAAAAGTATATCCTGCAATCAGGGATAGTATTGAGGTCACAGAGCATTCTGTTTTTCAAATAAAAAGTCAACTCTGAAGTTTGGCTTTATAGGTTTCTAAGGAGTCGTTAGGAAACCAAATGAATCATGTAGCATCCTTTATTCATTTAAGCGGATTTTGTAGTCAAGGAAAGCATAATGATGTCACTGTCATCAAGCCTAGACTAGAGAGTAAACAAGAACATCCCAAAGGTGTAAGGATAATGCTTAACACACTTCAAATCTTAAGCTGATATGTATGTACTACTTACCATGAGACGCTGAGAAAGGTATAGTGTATTTCATTTGTATAACATGACGTACTTCTTGTTCAATCTTAAAACCCTTGATATTGCCATCAGAATCTCCAGCATACTTGCAAATTCAGAAATTAAATCGATATGAAAAGTTCAATTGCCGCATGTGCTCTCTTGAAAGTTGAAATAACCTACAGTAGAGCAAAGAACCGAAGCTAAAATTGCATTTAGGGACCAATTTGCATAACTACAAAAGAATTAATTTATTCTTTAAAGACATGTACATGAGACAAGAGCCACTTTTCCGAGTCCCAAACCTACATTACAATTTCCATAGAAAAATTATTTCCCATAGGAAAAAGAGAGAAAAGAAGACATATTCTATTGGTAAAGTATAGAGCACGAAGACATATTTGTTTGTAAAAGTAGACATATATATAGAAACTACTTTTACAAGCAAATAATATAAAATTACAATGTCCTAAATTTTATTTTTCATATTTTTTCTTAGAAAGCAAACATAGAAAGAGAAACCAAACCATACATACATGAAAGGGAATTGGTCACATGCAGAGCCGACAAACCTTTGCAAATGAAATAACGGGTTCAAAAAAAACACTAACATGTAATCAGAAAAGAAAACCCAAATGTCAACATTTTATTAGATTTAGGTAAAAAGCGAAACCCCTAATATATAATCAGAATATAAAACAAACTTTTAAAAAACCCAAAAAAAATCAAGAAACACAACCGCAATTGCATTCATCACAATGTATAATTTAACAAAAGTATAAATTAAAAGAAAAACGTAACAGATCTAAGAATTGGGTAAGGAAACTAACCTGATAATCCAAAGAATTGATTAATAGAGTCAAGGGGTACATTTCTTAAGAATATATTAATATAATTTAAATTTATAATTTAAATATTAATATTATTACATGGGGTTGGACCAATTACACTGTGTAAAACCCTTTTAGTTTTACAATCATTTTACGATCATTGGATGAGAGAAATTAAAGACTGAGATTAACCGTGGAAAATGAACAGATATTCAATAAAAAACGAGTTGATCTCAACATTTGATTTCTCTCAATTCAATGGCAATAAAAAGGTGTAAAACTAAAAGTGTTTTACACAGTACAAGTAGATCCAACTCCTTATTATATTTATAAATTATAGAAATAAATTAAATTAATTTAAGAATAAATTATATAAAAATATATAATTATTATTTTTATAGAAACTAAGAATTGATTAATAGAGTCAAGGGGTACATTTCTTAAAAATATATTAATATAATTTAAATTTATAATTTTAATATTAATATTATTACATGGGGCAGGACCAATTACACTGTGTAAAACTCTTCTACTTTTACAATTATTTTAGGACCATTGGATGAGATATATTAAAGACTGAGATTAACAGTGGAAAATGAACAGATATTCACTAAAAAAACAAGTTGATCTCGACCTTCGATTTCTCCCAATCCAATGGAAATAAAAAAGTGTAAAACTAAATGAGTTTTACACAGGTAAGTAGAACCTACTCCATATTATATTTATTAATTATATAAATAAATTAAATTGATTTAAGAATAAATTATATAAAAATATTTAATTATTGAACATGTAAATTCTAGCCAGTAATACCTTCACAATAGGAGTTATAAAATTACCCATGAATGATTTTACTTTCAACAATGATTGTCAAAAGGAGTAAATAAAATTGATCACCAAACCCTTAATATAATTTAAATTAGTATATTCTTATAATATTTTATAGTTTAAATATTATTATTATATTTATAAATTACATAAATAATTTAATTTAAGAATAAATTAATAAAATTATACCTTGTACAGGTCTGTGTCATATGCTAGTTCTAGCTTTAGCTTGAGAGACAACCATTTCTCATTGTGAAGTGGTGAGTCTAGTCGTTCTTTCTCTACCTTAAGCATTGCTAGAGTGTGCTCGCCAGCCTCCTCACCTTTGGATTTCTGCATTAAATCTTCAATGTCAGATATATGAACACATTAAACTTAAGTGAAAGAAAAAAACCCGACAACACAGAAAATGAGAATCCGAACACATTAAATCTTCAATGTCAGATTTATTATTTTATGCAGCCTCGACCCATGTCAAGGCAGGAGGTCAGGGGGTGCAAGAAAGAAGTCAATCAATATAATAAAAAAAGGGTATTGCTGCTTACTTGAGAACAAGAATTCCATGCCTTAAAGATCTCTCTAGTTATAACCATTGGCTCAAGTAAGAAAGGAATCCCAACTACCGTTGAGCAAAATACCATCTCCATCTATAAACAAATCATCCATATTCATAAAAATTGTCACTACTTCATTTGCTTATTTATTCCAAGTTTCAAACAAAAGAAAAATAATTTCACATGTCTTCCAATGAACCCTTGGTTAGTCCATGAGAACCCATGAGAACACCAGATAATTTCACATGTCTTCCATGGATACACCATATGTTTCATAGTAAACCCTTGAAGCCGTATCAATATCAGTTGTATAAAAGTAAAATATCATCCATATTTGAAACGTTTCAAAGTCAAGAAAAAACCAAAATTAAAAGGAATAAAATAGGAGAAATTATGAAGAATAAACCTGAATTGAAAGCCTATTATAAACATATTCCTGCAATAAAAAAAATAACACAGATCGTCGGAGTAAGAAAAGAATTTAAATAAAAAAAAGACAGAGTTAATTGAGGAAAGCAATTTGAATCACTAGACCAAAGGCATCAACAAGTGAAAGCAATGAAAATGGAAATACATAGATACTATTTTTACAAACAACTAATACAAAAATACAATGTCCTAA